TTGATGCCTCTGACAGAGCACGGCAAGGACATTGCGCCCTGAATGTGCTGCCCAAGGGTTCAAAGCCACACTTGTCCCATTACATCCCCTCCGGAATGAAGCAAGTTCTTTCCGACGCTAGTCTAGCTGGCGATTCATTTGATGGTTGGGCTGTCAGTTTATGGCTAGCTTCCTGTGAGCGTCCTTCTTCTTGACAAGCTGTCGCACCCCTGATGAATCAACTGGGCGGCACCCCTCGGACAATCAACGTGGGACCCCAAAGAGAAGTCTTCCACATCCTCCCCTGGAGAGTTTTCGGAAGTTTGCCCAACTCAAAGGCTCATGTCTACGCACCCACGCCCATTTGGGCATATGTGTCGCCGCAACAAACTGATTCTCCTGTCGGATTCCCTTTTAAACCCTCCTGAAAAGGCGATGGTATGGAGTAAAGCAATGCTACTCGGACAGTAAAAGACTTGGCCATCCAAGGGGCACGCCCCCGCTTGATTCTCACCCCGTTCCTGCGGATCGATCCGGTTTTTTGGGCGTCCCGGCGCACGTGGCGGCGGCAGAACTCCTCGATGCGATCCCAAGCATCCTCCAGGACCTCCACGGGTGCCGCAAAGACCACGCCTCGGCGCAGGGTCCACAAATTCGACAAGGACATCCCACACCTTGAAACAAGTTCCCCAAGGAAAGGACCTGCTTGGTGAGCTCGTTTTAGTTGTTGGCTGGGATCCAAACCTTCCGTCCTAACCCTCCCCATCCCCGTGGCTTCCTCCAAATCAGGCCTTAATAAGGCCTTATTGCCTCATGGTGGGGAAACAAACGGAAGGAGTGCTGGCTGGATCCTATTACCAAAGGCCATGCGCAAAAGCTGTTTCGCGCAGTGCCATCGGGGGACAAAGGGGTTTGGGGGGATCACATGTTATTTGAACAAAGCAAGCAATTCAATTTAGTGACAATGTATGTGCTACCTTCTTTGCATGTGTGCATGTCAGCCAGGCCTGTCAACAGTATGTTTCGCATGCACCTTCGAGCATATGACATACATGTCACGGTGCCAGATTCCCCTTCATATGCACCGCGCTGCAGCGCCAAGTTTTGATGACGAGCGCCATATGACCATCTTCACAGGGATCCTTACATTATACACCTGAACATTGCCTTGTAAATGGTGGTGTCCCTTCATTTTGGTGGAAACAGCCATGTTTCAAATGGTTGCAAAGTGTATCTTTCAAGGAGCACTGCTTCAGTTGCGGCCAAGCTCGAAAGCCCCACGTCTGACGCACGTAGCTCACTCCAAAACCCAGCGCCGAGGTGCGGAAGAAGCCTGGAGCCAGGAAGCACTGGCCGGGCAAGACTGCCACGGACCTCAGCAGAAATCGTCTGGATTTCCCGTTGAGGGGACGATGGCGAGGACCCTGCCGTCAAACAACTTCAGGCGACCCACGTCAACTTGACGCAAGCCTGAGTTTAGCTTCTGGCCAAAGCAATGTGCTGGGGTCATTGTCTCCATCAAATGCTACAACATGCCGCAACGATTTCTTTTGTGTCGGGCGAGGCCCTGAAAAGTTGGCCATGATTCGGGGACGCTCCTTGCCCCAGAGCTACAGCTGAGAAAAGTAGAGGCCGGGGCAGGGCGACCAATTCTCCACCATGGAACCTGAATGAAGGCTCCAGGCTTGCACCGTTCTCCTCTCAAAAGGCATCCGGGCAGCTATTTTACCACCACAGTCTCCCAAGTGATGGGTTTAAGGGAAGGCCCAAACTTCCACGTCTTTGGGAGGGCCCCCGAGCCCCCGCCGTGGGCCAAAAACCCGCCGGAGCCCTCCGCTTTCGAGCCGCTCTTCCTCCAGGAGCTTCCCCGCGAACTGCACGTCGTCCTCGACGTCCAGCACGCCGGGCTGAATGCGCACCATCAAATACCTGGGGGCGCAAAGGCTCCGCTGGAAACCGCGGGAGCCAAGCTCACAAAGACTTTGGGACAAAGGGAGGTCGACCCAATTTTTAGGGGGGAGGGTTGGAACATCAAATGCCTGGACAGGAAGACGCCAAGAAGGAATCCAGTATGCATGCCCTAATTCTTGTTATGGCTAACGCACTCTCTTGCTTGGACCAAGATGCGAAAACCAAAAGGTCGGTTTGGGCAAGTGAGAGGTGATGAATCAAACCTTCGGGTTTCGGTCGATGGCTAACTTCCTGTAGAACTTCCATTTACGCAACAAATCATGTTTACCATGTTAGTTTTCTGGTTCCCCCAATTCCATTGACCTAGTCCCCCTCCAAGGGAAAATAGGACCATAAATGCAACCCCTTCCCTCATTCCATTTAAGGGCGTGGGGATACCTCCATTTGCTTAAGTCCCCTGGAAAAACTACAAATATGTCCAGTGATAGATTCCCTTTTAAACCCACCCGGGGGAAAGTGAATTTCACCAAATGGAAGGATACCTCCGGCTGCTTTTGCCAAGGCGCATGGAGCCCTCCGGCTCTGCCGCCACCTCCAAGCCTTTGGTGGCCCGGCACCGCCGCACGCAGCACCGGGCGCTGGCCTGGAGGCGTGCCGTGACCCCAGCTGCTCGCGTGGCCAAGACACACTGCCAAACCCCCAGCGGCCATGGGGGTTTGGGGCCTCACTGGGCTTGGTGGATTCGGAAGGGGAAACTGCTCCAAAAAGGAGACAAGGATACCAAAGCAGATCTGGGGCAAAGGTTCGATTCAGAGTACTTGGCTGGCGTTCGACCCTAGGATCTACGTAGATGTCCGTACATCATTTTAGCCAAAGGCACAAATGTTACACATCGCAAAAAATCCAACAAATGGCAGTATTCCTTTTCAGCCACAAGGGAATTGCTTCACCAAACACCTTCAAGATGTGAACAGGCAGGCTTCCTCCTGGGAGCCTCCCCAAAGATTGTTGCATCGACGAAAATCGCCCGACAGTGAGAGCAGCACTGTTCCTAGCAAACAGGGAGATAGTAGCACGCTATCATGCTATTGCATGCCACTTCTATGAATGCCCAATGCATACACAAAAACAACAAAACAAGTGCATACACATATGAGTTAGTTCTCCCTCTACCTACGAAGATGAACATATTATGTCAAGTGTATATTATCACCTAACTTTTGCGTTGTTGGGCTCCCTTCGTTTAGCGTAACCCTCCTATATGCCTGTTGCAGACGCATTTCTCCAACCCAGAATGCGAGGCGAGGCCAGGGACAAAGGAAGACAACTGGACCAAGGCCCCCCGTTCGATCTGGGGGGCCAAGTACGGGGTTAGTGGGTGGGGGGGGGGGGTCGGGTAGCAAAACGACGCAACTATGCTTTTGTACTGCATTCTCTGAGGGCCATGCTTTGTCCGCAACCTCACCAAGCCGGCAAACCAGCTTGGCAATTATTACCCATCCGCTTTAACTGAGGTTGTGTGGGTGTGATTCCAAATTAAACCAGGCTAACCCATTTGGGGTTGCCCTATTTTTGACAACCACCTGACCAAAGGTGATGTTGAACACCAGGGGGAAATCAAACCACTCCAAATCGGCCCAAAACCAGCTTCCCTCTAAGGAACTACCAATCCAAGCCACCAACTGCCCAAAGGTGATGTGGCTGTGGGTCAAAACCCAGGAAACCCCTAATAAACATCAAAATAGGTGGCACATGGGTTTCATCCTCCCCAAATTGTAGGCATAGGTTGTGACCCATGGCCATGTTGAAAACTTCCGGGGAGACCAAGGGAGCGCGGGTTTGACCGTTCGGCGCACGCCTCCAGGGCTGCAAGCACATCCCTGTGCCAGGGGCAGCCGTCGGGCACGGAGGTCAAAATCTCCGGGATCGCCGCCTCGAGCGGATCGCCAAATGCTTGCCATGGGTGGCCTGTGGGAATGAACCGTCCGGGATTCTCGAAGGGAAGCCGTATGAATGGTTTTTGCTCGGGGTCAGTCAATTTCTCATTCCCTGAGAACCAGCAAGCAAACCATTTAGTAGTTGTTGGGGCTGATGTTGGGCCTGAATAGTTGCACTAAGGGCCTGAAGGGTTGTGATTGTTTACTGCTAACCAAGGGTACGGATTGCGTCGTGATCATGGACAACTGTTAGACACTGTTTGTGCTTCTTTGGCCCACCTGGGGCTGTTGCTTGTGTTGCCCCTAAAAAAGACTTCGATGGTCCAAACCCCACCGGATGCCTCCAGCCGGTGGTCCAGAAAAGCGGCAACTAGGAGCCTAGGACATGTTCCAATAATTTTTATTCACGCTGGTTCGCCTTGACAAGTTCAATCACGGCGGGATTTTGACACACACGCCCCACAAACACACCCGACCTTGTACCGCTCGCTCACTGGGTCAAAGGCAAAATAAGGGTGCCTTGAGTCGAGAGCAACCCGACCCTTGAGAGCGTTCTGTCCCAAGCGCCTGCAGTGGCGCGGAAGGACCCAGCGAGACCTGGCGCCCGAAAGTGAACACAGCACCTGACTAGGGCAAACATATTTCCTCTAAACGGAGCCTATGGGTTTCAGGTTAGTGGGAGGGTAACACTTTCAAAACCTTGAGCCTCAAGGTGGGCGCATGTTCACTTGTCATCCTTTTGGTGGTCATTCTGCAAGCCACATCTAAAAGGCTGCCAGCTGCATTGGCTACTGCATGTCACTGAAGTCAGGGAGTGCTAAGAACCTGCATCATAGGTGAGCTCGTTCTACCGGAATAGTGAAATCGTCATAAGTCAGTTGGGCAAGTTTGCGATACTCGCTTTTGCCCCAAACGCTGGGAAAGAGTTCAGGAGCATAAAGCCACCCACCACCTGTGCTGTCTGGCATGGGTACCGTTTGAAGCGAAACCAACTCCGAAATCTTCGCGACACATTTGACTAGTATGTTTATGCAATCACTCAATCACTCGGGGCCTCCTTGTGCGTTACCCAGCTTTCTGCGACTTGATGCGGGCGTGCCAGCACTGGGAAAGCCTCTTGTCGTGGTTGTTAGTTGACTCCAGAGCATGTACCGTTCCCAGCTTTAGCCAAACCTAAACTGGCTGGTTTCAACAGAAAGGGGCAGCAAATAACAAAGCACCAGCTCCTTGGTATATACCGAAAAGCTCCGAGCTGTGTCCTCAGTTAGGGGGGCGTCCCTGGGTAACACCCCGCCTGGCACATCTTCAGCAAGGTCTCCGGGACGCCAGCTTCCGCGAAGGCTCCGTCGGCGTCATAGACCGTGACCCAACCAATCCGCCAGCCTGCGGATCTCGAGGTAGCCACACAATACTAGGCTACTGGGGGACCTAGAATAGGCAGATTTATTGGGCCATTTGAAAACAGAAGGATCTAACCAGGCGTTTTTCTCAAAAGAGGAGCTGGAGGCTTAAAGATAATTGGTTTCCTGGTTGTTTCCCTTCAAAACCTCACACGTGTTGCAGGTCAACGAGGGGTGAACGCCAAGAAAGTCGGTGGGGCTTGGCCATGCGGCTCTCCCGAGCATTTCACAGACGCCAATCAGGTGGAATATGGCTCAAACCGCACTCCAGCGGCAAAGTGTTGAACGTCTATAGGCACATCTCATCCTCTCAAACTAGCGTGGCTTATCTGTTTGCTACGAAAATCTACCCCGACCCGCCCCAATGGTGTGGGGGGTTTTAAAAAAACACACACACATGCAAGTGGAAGGGCCAGACGACTCGTCCTGCCTGGCGCCAGCCATCGCTTGGACAAGGCGCACACTGAGAGGATTGGCACTTTGGCGGACGCAGAAGCGCAGGACACGTAGGGCCTGCGCAGCGACATTCAGCCCTTCATACAAGTCTGATAAAACCACGCTGGGTTAGCAAGTGTCCAAACCCACAGACCCGCAACTGGCCTGGTCCATTCCTGAACCTTTTGGAATCCACGTGAATCCAAACCCATCCAAACCTCAGTGAAAGAAGGTCACTCTTCCCACCAAAACTCGCAACTCTCACCTCTTCGGGCTTCTTCTGGTCTTAGCTTGCTTTTTTGACCCCATATTTCGGGGTGCTTCTTTGGGGGGGGGGATGCAACCGGGTGCTACAAGGGTGGTCTGGAAAAACACACATCCACTGTTGCGTTCTTTTGGGGAAATTGAGCACATTGTCATTTAGCAGCCACATTGGAAGTTGCACAATGGCCTGAACTAGCCCTCCCGTAAAAACCAAATTGGAAAAATGCATCTCTGTTAGGCAAGCCGCCTGGCTCAACAGAGCGAGACATCTGGGCGAGGCTCAAAATTAAACCAATGGGGCAAGCCGCAGGTCTTGGCTTTTCCATTTACCAAGGTGCCATTTTGGTACATGTGTTTGACTCACAGCCATTTGCCTGGCAAAGCCCATGCCAGCATAGACTTCGTCGGCAATCACCGGCAGCCGGAGCTCTGTGGCCTTGTCAAGCACCTCCCGATGGGGGCCCCGATTTCGGGGATTCTCCGCACTTGGGGGTGGACCAAAAGGTCGGTGAACTACGTGGGATGAGTTGGGGAACCACCACAAAATATGACTTTCAGCGAAAAGAGTCACCTATGATCATTTTGGGGCCAGGAATGTTGATCAACCCACATTTGCCTGGCACGTTTATTTTTCCTGCATTTCTTAAGGCTGTGGGCCGGGGACATCGCAGGTCTCATGCTGCTCGCTGCACCTCCACCAGGTGCTCTCGCGAGAAGACCGTGCCGCAGGGATTCGAAGGGTTGTTGATGAGCAAGCCGCAGGTGTTCTCATCCTAAACGCGACATGCGAGTCGTTTTCAAGAGGCGCCGTGGAAAAGACATCTGCAAGCTGCACTGAGGTCATGTGTATGGCAGCGACGCAATTTGCCCTTTGAACACAACTGGCGCAGGCTAAGGGCTGAGGCTAGGACTGCCAACTTGGCAATGGCTCCAATATCGCATTGCCACCCAGAGTTCGGCAGCAGGTCATAGTATCGCACTTCCACGCCATGATAGTCGCCTAGATGACAGGAGAAGGCAACATATTCAATTTCATGACACACATGCATACAGGTGTGCGCCAGCACGCTGCTGCCTGAAGCAATTGAGAAGATCCCAACAACGCCTCTGAACATGACACGTGCCCCTGTCAGGTGCAAGTTGCAAGTGGGGAACAGAGTGCAGTGATGCAAAACGTGTCTTTACCCGCAGCCTCCCGCCCTCGTCCAAGGCGGGGGCAAAGCACCTGGTACAGCGGAAAGCCCGGCCGCGGCAGCAGCAAGTTGCCTGCGGGGTGGTGTCTTCGCTCTGTGCTTGCTAGACCCGCCCCACGGAAAGCTTGCATATCAAACATGACCTGAATAAACAAATAAGTAAATCAAGTATGTGAGACAAACAAGTAAGCACGACTCTCTGTAGTATAAATCGATAATTAAACAGGTAAATCGGTAAACAAGTAGCTAACTAAGCAACTAAATAAATCATAAATAAATAAAAAAATAATAATAAAAAAAAAACAATAAATTAATGAACAAATAAATAACTAAATAAATAAATAAATAAATGAATAAATAAAAATAAGTAAGTAAACAAATAAACAACACAATAAATGAATAATAAACAAACAATAAACAAAAAAATATAAACAATAAAAAAAACAGTAAGTAAGTAAACACATAAATAAATAAATTAATGCGCAAAAGAACCAATCAAAAACCTCAAGATAAATACAAATGTTAATAAACATACACTATCATGGAATGAAAAAAAACTGGAAAATCATAAGTACTGCTTTATTTGTTTAACCAAAAGTAAATAAGTAAGGAAACTAGTGAACCAATGCAATAATGACAACACATGAACATCACAAAAACATACATATACAACTGCATATGGCCATTAATATATGATATGCCAAGTTTTGGGAAAGCGATGTAAACAGCAGTGTGTTTCTGGAAATCTTCGCAAAGGATATGTAACACCTAGGTTGCGCGCCCTGTTGCTGCAATTTCCCATGGAACTTATGCGCCGAACAGGGCCACCGAAGGGCAAGTCAACATGAACTTCTGCCTTCAAGGAATCTGGCCATCTCCGTTGAAGCTGCGCCACCTTCTTCTGGCCTGAACCTAGCCCAAATTGCGCGCATGGGAGCGTTAAAAGAAAAAAAAACACGCTCCCCTGACAAGTCAGCTGACCAAACCGCCGCCTGGATCCTTCCGTCGCGTTTGTTGCAGCCGAGGGTCTGCCAGGAGCCGCCAAGGCGCCGATGCAGTGGGACAGCGCCTCGGAGCAGCCCAGCGTCATGAAGATGTCCTGAAGGCTGCAAGTAGACAACACGTGTTCCCGTGTATTTGGGTGGGATTGGAACAGCCATGTTTTATACTTACAAAAAATGGCTTGGATGAAGACCCTGAAAATTGCAACAAGGAAAGCTCCGCAAACTCGACTTGTTTGTTGTTGCAGCAGGGTTCAAGCAGTCCACTGGATCACCACCAAATGTTTCTTAAAGTGCACCCATAACATGTCCTCAACGCATTTCTACACGTTGGATCACAGGAGAAATCCCCAGGAAGCTACGGAGTTGCAAGGACAAGGTTGTCTCTCTTGATTGGTTGATTGTTGGTGGGCTGGCTGATTGCTTGCTTGCTTGCATGCTGGATTGATTGATTGGTAGGTTGGCTGGCTGGTTGCTGGTTGATGGAATGATTCATTGATTGATTGAATGATCGATTGACCATGCCCAATACCCCTGCAAAACATCTTTCCACCCCGCGTACATTCTGTGTCTAACACGGGATGCAGTTTTATGACCTCCCCTGAGACGGCAAAAATCTGTGCCATGTTGAATCACTTTGAAACATATCCTCCTACAAAATAACACCGAGGTGTTCCACAAGCGTCTTGTGCACAGACATGTTCATTTGTGGGCGTGCCCGCATCAATGTCGGCAAACAAATACAATTCCATGAAAGAGTTCGTCGTGTAAAATATCGTCCAGATTAAAATGCTCACTGGGGTCAAGATTCCGAGTGGTTCCCCTTCAAAGCAAAAGCAACAGGACTGAAACAACTCGGGATTTCACCCTGGGGAGCGGCACCTCCAAAAGGGCGCCATCCGGCCAAAAAAAACCCAACGACGCCGGCCCATTGGTTTCCCTCGGTTTCCCTCGGTTTCCCTCGGGGGGTCCATCGGCGGGTTTTCCAACGGGCCAGGTCCTTCGGCTGCAGCGTGGGGCGGCTTGGGGCGTTGAAGAAGGCCGCCAGCTGGGCGCGGCACCGGGCGCTGCCCTGTGAGGGCTGGTAGCCGTTGTTGAGGCCCGAGGTCACCTGAGGCGTCCAAACGGGGTGGGGGGAGGGGGTGGAGTGGAGGGGGAGGGTGGGTGGGAGGGGGTGGAGGGGGTGAGGGGGTGGAGGGGGTGGAGGAGGGGGTGGAGGGGGGGTGGCAAAAGAGGGGGGGGTGAAATGGTGGAACCTTCTATCAACTTTCTTGAAGGCGTCGGATACTTTTTTTTTTGTTTCTGGGTGTTGGGTTGCAAAAGTGTCCATGCCACTCTCAACCATACCAGGCTAAGATCGGTTATGCAAACACAAGCAGCTACCCTTCCTCCCACTAACGTACGCCTTCCCAGGAAAAAAACATATTGATTGAAAAGCACTAAGTCCCCGGCAGTGCCAAACACGCGGGATGTGAAAAAAACAATATCTCATGTTGATGTCCTTTGGGTAAAGCCAACCATGAGCTATTTACACGGGCATGTTGCCATGCTGCCGAGTCGGCAGGGCTACCGGTGCAGCTTTCCGCGCCATAACGGCGTCTGCCCACGACTTCTCTACACCAGGGTTCTCTTAAATTCCGGGCAGGCCAAAAAAATGACCCTTGTCAAGGGAAATCAAAGGAAACGATCCAAAATTATATCCTGACGTTTGGTCTTCCTTGCATTTAGAGTACCTCACCTGTGCAGAAAGACGCCACGGTTACACTGGCCGGTGGTGGTGGTGGGCACAGAGGATGGCGAATTTGCCATGACGTCCCACTCCCACTTCACCCTTGAAATCCACACATGAATCACACGAATCCACGCAAAGAACGACCTCTAACGGAATCACCTTCATCCTGCTGTAATTATTATACACCTCTTGTTGAGCAAAACAGCACGGCTGGCGGCTTGCTTCATGCGCCCTTGACGCGACGTCCAAAAAGCCCCAGGCGCAGCGTGGGAGAGGGAGGCCACCATCTCCGAGCTGGGCCGCAGGTGCGGGTAGCAGCTGGGATCCCCCTGCGCCAAGGACACCAGCGGCTTCGCCGGGTTCTCCTGGGCGCATTTTTTGTTGCGGCCGCCCCTTGCCTTTTCTTTTGTGGCAACCAAAGGAAAACCCACCCTTTTTCGCCCTTTTTTGGGGGTCCCCGAAAACAAACACACACGAATTCAGAGCCTAGCCTGGTCCAAGGAGAGAGGGCTTGGTGCCCGTTTTTGGCTGACACGGGAGTGGCTTGGTCCGCCCTTGATCGCAAACGGACCAATCGCTCAACCAAGCCGGACAGCAAACAAATCCTTTCCGTTGGGCGGAAGCAATGATCTGGGCCCACGAAATACAGAACCACATTTGGTGTTTGCCGGGCGTGCCTCTGAGAATGGGTCAAAATCAGCCCCCAGAAAGATTGGGGCCCATCGTCCGGAAAAGGACCAACCCTGGCCCTCAGGTCCAACAAGTTAAACGAATCACCCAACGCCGCGAAAGGCAAACCCCAGCCTTGCCAGCAATGGTATCCATGATCTCCCGAATTGGGTTGCGGATGCCTATGCACAAGAGCAGTATCTGACTGGCACGTGTTCATGTTTCATGACCCCGGAATGACATGGGTGATCATGTGTGTGTGTGTGTCCTTTTCGAGGAAAATCCATTTGGGTTGGTGTTCAATGGAAAGCAAAGGGACAACCACCATCCTGGGCGCCCCCAAACATAGACACCCATGCTTTGAAAACAAAGACCTCATGATAAACACGTACAACTGGCAACCAACCAACCCACCCACCCACCCACCCACCCACCCACCCACCCACCCACCCACCCACCCACCAAGCCACCAAGCCACCAAGCCACCAAGCCACCAAGCCACCAACCAACCAATCAACTAACCAGGAAACAAGCACAAACAGAATAAGAGACTAGCAAAGCCAGCAAGCAAGCCAGCAAGCAAGCGAACAAGCTAGCAGGCAGGCGGGCAGCGGGCAGACAGACAGGCAGGCGCAGGCAGGCGCAGGCAGGCAGCAAACGGACTGATGGAGCAAGCAAGCAGGCAGCTATCTAACACACCAACCGCGGCAAGCCTGCCTTTCGCCCGCTCGCCGAGGCGAATGCGCCACGGTCGTGGCTTCTCACCATCCTCACTTTCGAGGCGCCTCTTCCTGAGGATGCACCCCAAATGCCCAGTATCCCTGGCACTGCTGGGGGGGAGCCCACCCGAAGAACATGACAAAAGGGGCGGATGAACAAATCTAGCCAGCCCAATCCCAAAATGTACGACCCAGTGGTTGCCAAGATGCCAAAACACTAAGAATAGCAAAGATTAAATGAACACCCAGAAGGTCGTTTGGACCCGAACATAGGTCCGAATGAGAAACATTCCCCGTGCAAACCTGTGGACGAGCTCCGCGGGCATAGAAACAAATTGGTCTTCGGAATCAAACCGAATCAGGACCACCGTCCCCGCCTAAAACCGGCCTAGCCAGCTCAATTGCTAGAGCAAGGGGAACTCAACGCTAGCATTCGTGATAAGTGAAGAATCTTTCGGGACAAAGGAGGGCTGCAGTCCACCAACCAAAAGACACGGAACTGAACACATAAATATGTGAACCCGGGATTCTTGCTCTGCCTGCTGGCCCATGATGATATTGTACTAAACACTGCACCACGGAAATTGTGTTCCACTCAGCGGGGCTTGTTCGCGTGTGTTGCTGTCAAGGCTTCGCGTTGTGGCCCCCGAATTTGAGGGGCCCTCGTACTGGTTGTCCGAAATATATTCGATCGCTTCCAAGTTGATGGGCAGGTCTCAAGTCCTCACCAATTGACTGCCTAACCCGCGCATTCGGACACCCTCGAGCAACATATTTGAGCCTGTCTGTTCTGTCTGTTGGTGAATGAAAGGAAAGTCCCCGCCGGGGTTTCCACAAGATCTGAGGGGCTGGACCAAAAACACAGACACAAAAACCAGCCATGACAGCAAAGCAGTACCCTTGTATGCACCCCGGCCTACCGAAACACCCGGGCCGAGTGTCTTTGGGCAGGGCAGTGCCGGCTCCACGCATGTTCCTTGGCAGACTCTCTAAGGCCATGCTTCACGAAGCCTGAAGCCTTGCCCCGGACCGCTAGCGGCCATGGGAAAAGAGTAGCCTCTCATCACCAGCCACTCATTTAATGTTGCTTGTTGGGTTTGCAAGTTTGTTGGAATCATGCGGCAGCTGTGCTCAGGACAGACCTGATGACGCAATAAATGATGATCAAGAAGTCATTTCCAAAGGAAAAATCGAACCCAACATGATACACCTATCATGACCCATGGAACTCAACCAGCGCCAGGCATTCACTGAAGTCGTGCCAAGTTACTCACGACGGTGGCCATTCTGCAGCAACCAAGATGACACAACAAGCTGCCAAAGAGGCTGCGGAAGCATGTGGAAATGAGCAGGGAACCCGTCCATTCAACAAGGGCAATAACAGCACGCAAATGCAAACAACGACGCGCGCACACACACACACACACACACATCATGCGCATTCTCACGCGCACGCACGCACACGCACACGCACACGCGCACACGCGCACACGCGCACACACACACACACACACAAACAACCACAAACAAGCACCGGCACGCTCGCATACACACAAATCAACAATGGACGCACGCAAAAGAGCGGGGAAAGCATTGCCCTTTGAACATCACCTCAGGCGCAGGGTCCCACAAAACCAGCGGTCATAAATTTGATATACAGGTTTGAAGGATACTCGACCAACGCCAACTTGCAGATTTTCTAAAGCGTCCTCCGCATGCCAAGGCACCCTTGCCATGAGTGGCACTGGTGCCTTCTCAGCTAAGGATGTGACGACACCCATAGGTTTGAAAGCGCAGCTGAAGAAAACCACTTCTGAATGCCTTCTTAGACAGGATGCCTCCAGCTAATCAACCACGTGTTTTAGAAACAGACCCGTGAATCTCGTGAGGCCTGTCAGCCGACCAATGTTAGCGTGGTCGACCTATGGATGAGTCATTGCATGGGCCGCATGGGCGTTCCTTTGGAACGGCTCGCGGCGGGCATTAGGATCTACGGCCTTCGCTTTCCGGATTTCCGGGGCCCTCCCCGGAAACCGGGCGCAAAGCCGGCTCCCAATCGGCCAAAGCCAAAGGGCTAAATGGGAATGTCAAAGCCAGGGGCAAGCTCTCCATGCTAAAGGACCATTTCAGGTGCACCTGAGAGGCCCTGGTTTTGATGCATACCGCGGGCTGGCTCACTCCTGTGCGACCTGCGCAGGTCATGCACTGCGCATGGCTTGTGACAGCCGCCGCGCTCTGGATGCGATGGCTGTTTTTTTTAATAGTTTTTTGGGTGGAAGAAAGCATCAAACAATCTTGCAGTTAAGCACGGTAAACAAGCAGGACCAAGAGGTTCGCATGTGATGCGGGGGCTCTCAAGGAGCAAGGCCTGCCAACCCGACAAAGACGACCAGAATCAACTACAAATGGTTAGGGACATTAATTATCTGTCAAGCGTAAGGGGCAAACAATGGTAACACAATTCTGGACATGAAACAGCTGTCAAGCCCAAAAGTGCAGAGGCAAGCCTCTACCCTCCCCTAGCGGAGGTCAGCTCCCTGTTTTCCCACGCCTCTGGGGTCGCGCTCGCAGCAGGGGCCTGGACATGCAGGCATCTGTGCGGACGGACACTTGCCTGACCCATAGAACTCCCACGAAATGAGGCAGACACCTACTAAATCACCCAAATCAATCAGACTTCAATATTGTTGCATGTCCATCTCCCACACCTGAATTTCATTGTCAAACTCTTGGCAGTGCGCTTGTCGCTGCTTGCGCTGTGCATCTGTGATGTCAGTGGGCCAGTTGCCATGCTTGGGCCTCTCTCTGCTGCCTTCCGCGTGGGCAAACCTTGCAAACCCCAGGCAAAGTCGCCACTACTGCCTAGGCGAAGTATATCGTTTGCCTGCAGGCATAAGGTCCTCTGGCTGCTTCACTCCCAGGCGGTTCAAGATCATCATCACATCCAGCTGCAGCAGAGCTGGTTTGGACGCACCTTACGGATTCCTCTGAGCAGGCGACAGGGTTCCGGTTTAGGGCTTTAGTTTAGATTGGGTTTCAAGTGTAGATTGAGGGATTAGGGATTAGCCTTAGGCTTGGGGTTTAGGTTGAGGGTGTGCGTTTTAGGTTTAGGGTGTAGGCTTAGGGTTTGGGGATCAAGACTTAGGTTGAAGGTCCAAAGTTTAGGTTCTGGCCCGGCTGAGCCTTTGGGGCGCAGGCAAACGATGGGCATTGGCCGACAGCTTACCACTACTACGTATGTGTGTGTGTGTGAGGTGTGTTTGTGTGTGTTTGTGTGTGAGGTGTGTGTGTGTGTGTGTGAGGTGTGTGTGTGTGAGGTGTGTGTGTGTGTGAGGTGTGTGTGTGTGTGTGTGTGTGTGTGTGTGTGTGTGTGTGTGTGTGTGTGTGTGTGTGTGTGTGTGTGTGTGTGTGTGTGTGTGTGTGTGTGTGTGTGTGTGCGTGTGTGTGTGTGTGTGTGTGTGTGTGTGTGTGTGTGTGTGTGCGCGTGTGCGTGCGTGTGTGTGGTGTGTGCGTGTGTTGTGCGCGTGTGTGCGTGTGTGTGTGTGTGTGTGTGTGGTGTGTGTGTGTGTGTGTGTGTGTGTGTGTGTGTGTGTGTGTGTGTGTGTGGTGTGTGTGTGTGTGTGTGTGTGTGTGTGTGTGTGTGTGTGTGTGTGTGTGTGTGTGTGTGTGTGTGTGTGTGTGTGTGTGTGTGTGTGTGTGTGTGTGTGTGTGTGTGTGTGTGTGTGTGTGTGTGTGTGTGTGTGTGTGTGTGTGTGGTGTGTGTGCGTGTGCGTGTGCGTGTGCGTGTGCGTGTGCGTGTGCGTGTGCGTGTGCGTGTGCGTGTGCGTGTGTGTGTCACACACACACACACACACACACACACACACGCACGCACGCACGCACGCACGCACGCGCACACGCACACGCACACGCACACGCACACATACGCATTGAAGTGCACGGGAATACTTTCTAAAGGAAGCATGTCTTCCCAACGCTTCTAAAGGGTTCTGTGCACTTCCAAGTCTGGTGGAAGGGCGTTCCCATTTTCTGAGCCCAAGAAACGGCGCATGCCACTGGTCGCGCCTCCGGGTCTTCGTTGGTTCCACCGGTGCGTCCCTGGCGTGTGTCCGACACCCGCCCTGTCACACACTCGCCTGCAAATCAACAAGGAAGCTCCTCGCGTGTCCTTGGCTCTATGTGAGTTTTCGGAGAAATGGAGGGAGTGCTGAAATTGGGGACATGCTGAAAGCTGGAAGGACATGGAACCTGATAGAGTGGGGCTTTCAAAGGAAAACGCGTTCGGGGAATGCGGACTGTGACTCAAGGCTCCTTAACTACTACTTGCAGCGCTACCATTTTCCCTGGAGTTGCGTGCGCTTGGGCACTGAGAGCCATAGAGTCAAAACAGTGGACATCTTGGGCTACCGCTAACCTTCCTGTCCACTAACCTGAAACATGGCCATGATAAAGTGTGTGTTTTTTTAGGGGGTCCCCAAAAATTGTGAGTTGTCCTTTTGGTCGTCTTTCAAAACCACACAAGAAAACAGGGTATCCTCAAAAAAGGACGACCCACCCGTATGTTTTCTGTTTTTTTGAAAGGCGCCTTCTGGCTTGCACGTTGCCTGGTTGTGGGGCCCGCCTTCCGCAGTCCGGCATTGCGGATCACCGCCTGGCGTTTGGATATGAGGCAATCCCCGAACTCCACAATCGAGCGTGCCCTCCTGGCCACGTTGCCATGGAACCCATAGAGGGTCCATGTTGAAGGAGAAATGGCCTTCCAGGACCCAGGGGGGGGGGGGGGCATGTTTGTGGACAGGAGGGAGGCGTCCCCTTTCAGATTCGTGCTCATCATTCGGGGCAATGCAGCTGGTACCTTTTGTTTGCCTTGTCTTGGTCTTCTTCCGCGACAAAGCGATCGAAACTGAACATGTTCCTGTAGTCGGCTGTGGGGCAGTCCCCGACATCTCTTGCTTTCATGTGGCCGCTGTGTCACGGAGGGAAAGCACCACTTGCAGTCTGTTTGAACCTATTTCCTTATGTGGCGTCCGGTCCCCCAAACCTCCTTCCTGCTAAGGTCACAATTCAAAGCCTAGATTCCTCCAGAAGAACGTGCGGCTAACTCAGTTCCCCACAAACTCTTTTAAACAAATCTGAACGCCGCTCCGATTTGGCCGCCTGGGATTTGGTGGCCTTCTTGAGCATCATGATCAACGACCGTCCTGGCACTTCGCGCTGAGGTTGGGATGGTGTATGTATTCATTTGCAATTCCTTTGCGGCAAAACCACTCCGAAACGCTCATTGTTGTTGCTCACGCAGAAGCGGCGTTTACCCGTTTTAGTGGCTTGGACAATTGCTTCCACTCCCACACCAAGAGGGCAGCAACTTGGCTTGGCTCATGGCTTGGCTCGTGCGCCGAGAAACCCTGGGCCAACAGCCACGCAACCGTATCTTTTGTAAGGAGCCACTGCGCAAGTGGCTGCGCGAACGGGTTTGTAGGGTGGACTCTGATAATTGTGTTTTGTATACTGATAGTTAAGTTTCCGCATGCTTGAGACCAGGATAGCACATGTTGCTGCGTGTGATCTGTGTAGGTGATGCCTTATACTCGCTACAGGCATGATGTTCAAATCTTCAAGTCATCGCCACGACAAACCTTATGATGCCCTACCAAACCAAACCCAAACATGTCAACTCAACCCTAGTGAGCACACGAATTTCTACAAAATCATAAGCAATCTTTGCCCTTGTGCCAGTGGCCTCCCAAGGTATTGCTTCTGTATCGTCGTCAGCCCCAGTGGCTGCTGATGAGCGGTGAAGACGGTGGTTCGATTCCACCCGAGGGCTCCAATTTGCTAGTCAATGTTGAACAACAAATAGCAAAATACAGTATTGAATGCCATAGAATATGTAACGCAAGCCAGATTCTTACTTAATAGCAAGGATGCATTCAATGCAAGGCTCAACCTGTCACTGGTCGCTGCATCCGATTGCGCATGTGGCTGGATGTTGTTGTAAGTTGCATTCCTTGCAAATTTCGGTAGGGCATGAAATGTGTCCTGGTGATGACTTGAAGATGTAAACATTATGCATCTAGCTGTTAAAGGGAATCATCTAACACCCACACAGATCACATGCAGCAATGTGCGCTATCCTAACCTCAAGCATGTACAGGGAAGTAAATAGACACCCCCTACAAATTGATGGAGTTGATACTGATGCCCCACCCCACCCCCTCAGACTCCATGGCCTGGATCCAGAGTGTTTGCTCTCCGTGGCGCAAGCCGTAAGGGGCCGATTTTTTTGAGCACACAGGACAGCGTAAAAGAAGTGATCGGCAAAACTGCA